TTAAAGAACAAGTGTACTGGGGAACAAAAACTAGAACAAGTTATCTTTTTTGTAAATTATTCTTAATTATTCTTGTGACTTTTATATTTTCTTGCGCGTCAACCTCTGAAATAAGATTGCATTCAATTCCAAACAGTAAGTGTGTCAAATCAGCCATTTTAAAACAAAGTTCTTCAAGAAAAATCGGGCTATCTCCTAGGCTAGGCTTTAATAGCGTAGAAATCGCAATATAACTACTCTCCTCCGGACAATAAAGGCTACGTAAAGCTGTATACTTATGTATACGGCTTCAAACTATTGCGGTATTATCACCCCCTAGGGGGGCGCTGCCTCTTTTTGTACCTTTCAACGCTTAATGCTATGCTTTATCGAACTGATTCTCTCGCTTGCGTTTTATTAAATGGAAGGTTTACTATTTTGAAATAAGGTTAAATTGTGTTTTTATATTTTTCTTAAAATAAAGGCGTGTGATTGAATTATTTTATATGCGTATATGTACCTGTATAGGTATTAAATGAAGATAAATACGGTTTTGCTCAGATATGTTATTGGAACCCGAACCCGACGGGTTTGCAAGTCGTCAAAGGCCCTTTATCCTGATATAAAGCGTCCTGCTATCTGTATACATACATGCAGTTTGCATGTGAAATTCTTGAATACCAGTTAATAATAACAGCTTCACACATCTCACACACGGCCGTCTGGTTCCAAACTAGGCAGAGCCTGTACTATGGGAACCAGACTAATGATAAACATAGTTATATTTCTAAATACATTCACCCAAACACAGAACAAATCATCCTGCTTATCACATAATTATTTGTCCTGGGTGGGAATCGAACCCACGACCTCTGGCTTAGCAGTCAGGTGCAAACTTAGGAGCCACTTATTTCTAGTTATCGATCTGACGTTTTTCTTAGGATTACTTCTTCTTACTTCATACGATTCTTACGACTACGATTACGTCTTACTATTTTCTAAAAAATACTTCGTTCTTTTACAATTGCTTGGGTTTTATGGAAAGTGTATGAAGAAATAAATAAGCTCCAGGTGACTGTTTTTAATGATTAATTACTAGTTAATGAACGCGGTGTCGATCGCGTAAAAAAACTTATTGAACCCCTCAAGAATAGTCATAGTTTTTCTGGATAAAAGATAGTTCATTTCTTTTTCTGGACTCCTGACAAAGTTAAAGGGTAATAACGTAACAAACAGACAAACTCATTTGCACATTTATAATATTAGATAGGATAGCCTAATATTAGATATAGAGGCCATGAGTTTGTTTGTCCTTGCTTCTCATAACGCATATCATAGATTTTGTATGGGTTTGATTTTTGTTAAATTTATTTGCTTACTATTTGACAAAACAGAGATTGTTGCTTTTGTGTGTTTTGATCTATGATTTTAGAGTCTACATAAAAGACGATTTCAAACAATTTTGAAAATTTTATGAATTAAAGAGAGTTTGAGTTTGATACTATTCATTAACACATTAACAGCCTATAATAGTCCACTGCTAGACATAGGCCTCTCCTTAGAAAGGAGGTTTTGGTCTACTATGCCACGCTGGCCATACGGGTTGATATACTCGTAGGGTTTGTTCCAAGTTTTCCTTCTCTTTGCAGTGTTGTTGTCCTGCGTAGCTAACTCCTATAGTCGGCTGTTACGACACCCACGGGATGAATAGGGGTGGTGACATTCCACAATCTTAATACGTCACCACAAGAACTTAGGATACTATTAGGTATACCAAAATAATAAAAAAGAGTTAAAATAAATGTTGACTATTGACGAATGAGAATTCAGCGATAAAATCGTTTTTTATCACTTCCCTGAACGGTTACGATGTCAAGACGTAACGTTGACAGGTTTTTACGAGCCCTCACAGGTAAGATAAAAACACGTTTATTGGCCTATCAATTATATCCAACTGGTATTGTTTGTTTTAATGGGGCGGGAAGTTTTGTTACATTGCCAATTAGATCGTTTCTTCCCCATTATTTTTGTCAAGAAATTTCATATCAAAGAAATATTCTGTTTTTGAAGTTTATGGTAAGGTCTAGTGATGGATACCTGTATATAAAAGGTGTTACAGAATTAATGATTTTTCGTAAAGGTTACTCATGTCCGTGTGGTGACGGATTAAGAATACGGAGTGTCTCCACCTCTATTGATACCGTGGGTGTCGTAAGAGCTGACTAAGGGAGCAAACTAAAGGACAACAGCACTGTAAAGAGAAGGAAAACATGAAAGAAACCCTATACCAACGTGGTATAGTAGGTCCAAAGATCGTTTCTAAAGAGAGGCCTATGTCCAGCAGTGGGCTACAAAAGACTGTTGATGATGATTTCTGGTCGTATGTTGTTTTTATAACATTGGAGAGTTATAATATTAATATAAAAAAAAAATTTTTTTTTGGACATCTGACACACCACGCCATCCAGTTTCAAACTAAGCAGAGCTTGAATACTTAGAAACTTTTTTTTTTGTAAATGCATCATATTATACATAGAAAACTCCGAAATAAGTATTTGCAGATCTTACAAACATTTGGTCCGACCTGGGAATCGAACCCGAGACCTCAGCGCAGCAATCACATACGCTACCACTGCACCACCGAGGCAGTCAAGTTATAGTGGGAGACCACAAATTGGCAGGCTTGACCGGTGTGAAGCAATTGTTTCGTTGCTTTTCAAAGAGTGAGGAAAGTTAAAAGAGCCCAAACACCCTCTCCCTCTGATTATAAGAGGGAGGGGGGGAGGGGGGGGGGGTTCAAAACCGCACTTATGACACTTGAGGTGCAGGTATCATGAACGGCGGTAGTCACTTACCATCAGGTGACCCGTCTGCTCGTTTGCCTTCGTATACCATTAAAAAAGACCCACCTGATGGTTAGCGACTACTAATAGACTAATAGAAACCTGCAACTCTTGAGAACCAGGGCAGAAACTTAATAATAGCGTCCCCTTTGTCCAGTCTCTCCCCATAGAGAGACTGGAGAGAGGAGACTCAGATAAAGTCTCTCCCCAATGGTTAACATTTTTCGATAAATATATATTTACTTAACTCAACTAATATTTAATAGATTTCGAGAGAAAACGATATTAAGGGGTAATATCGTTTACCCAATATTTTTTTCAACGTACGCTGCATGGTAGGCGATTTGTTGAACAAGTTTTTATTTTATTTTAACCCTTTATTTTATTATGATTTTTGGGCCTCTGAAACTGCCACCCGGGGTAAGTTCCCCGATTTGTACACGACCCCATAGATCCGGGGCTGATGACGATACGACCCTTACCAGCATCTCATTTGAAACTGTGAAACTGCGGCAAACGACAAGTCTACATTATCTAAACTAAGTTAAGAGACATATCATCAATAAATTCAAACACAATGAAACAGTATTACATATGTAAGTACTCCTCAATACAGCTAAGTAAAGAATATAAGACAAAAAATACTCTTTTGAAATAGAAAATAAAAAGGGATTTACAATGAAACTGATCACATGAATAAATAAGGGTCCGTCTAAAGAGTATCGAGTCTTATCTGAAGCCTGTTCGTCAACATGTCGAGAGGATTGTAGCAATTGAAACATTAGCTGCCAACCCCTGTACTGGAAGGCTTTTCGAATAAAAAGATATTGTAGGATATTTTTAAAGTAAAAAATTTGAATTAAATTTTTATTGACTGTACGGTGGCGTAGTGTTTTAAACGGTCACCCCGCCGCTTCCTACTGCGCTGAGTGTTGTGTGTTCGATCTCCACATGGTGTAGGTGTTATTTGTGTCCGTTTCATGTATATTTGTAAAGTCACCCGCGACACAGGATATATAGCTAATGCGGGAGTTGTCTTTTTAAAAATTAAAGAAAAACTGAAAATTACCGTGGGCCGTCTCGACTGGGGTGACACCACGACTTCATAGAAAACCGATGTTAGGTACTTAGGAGTAAGTGAGGCTCTACCTCTGGTTATAGGTGGAAGGACTCAAAGGGTAGCAGCGTAAAGCGGTCAAACAAAACAGGTTATCCTGAAGGGAATAAGTAGGACTCGTAGTCCGAAATTGCAGCAGCTCTGATTCTAGGGGACTAGATATGACCACTGCAAGACGCAGCCATCCAACAATATAATTACGTATTTCCTGACAGGTTTAAAAGGCCGATCGAGAATTCTGGACTGGACAGTACACGGTCTGGCTTTTGATAAGCCTATTCTAATTGTGTTTTGCCGACCTCATGGGGTAGTACAGTGCGATATGCTTTAGGGTAGGTTAATCCCGGTCATCTGTACCAGACCAGCATCCTTACTATACTGAAGTTCCAGCACCTTTAAACTTATCCTGTGGATTGATTATATTTCCAACTGCTCCAATTTACTTCTAATTAATTCGGGTTCTAAGACAGTTTAACTTTGCCTGGGACTTCCCGTATGTCACAACTTCGGTTCGTGGGTCATGCTGTTGTTCCTGGTATATAGGAGTTACAGTAGTGGGCGTGTGGGAGGGATAACTCCCATTAGAAGAAAAAACTTAACCTAATATCGCCAGCAATTGTACGAAATATTGGGAATATTCATATTGATGTATCTTCTACAATAATTAGCAGAAGACATTATTGTATTTTGTTGTAAAAGGATGGTGTTACAGACCGTACTGTTAATATATGAATATAATATATGTGTGTAGATCCATTTTTTTATTCACGTCTTAAGACGTAAAAGAAAAATATTCTTTCCCTACGTGGGTTACACATTACTGGTATTTTCACTAACTCATCTAGTTAAGCTAAATGCTTTTGTTAAGAGTGTAGTTTTATTCCTCTAAATTATTGTGTAAATTTATAATTTCCAAGCACTGTTTTCGATCATTCAGATTCGTTTTAACCCAGTTATTTATCAAAGATTGAAACAAAAAAAGCTCCAGAAAGGCCTCCTTCAACCGGAAAAGACTAGTATGTTACTTTTTGTATACTTTCATAACCCATTGGTATACTTACCAGTAGAGGTAACTGCACCATTGGTGTCTGAAACCAAAAAAGTCATTATTTAAATTAATTCATCAATCATTAACTCTACTAGGCTTTATTCAGAACACTACACAAATATTTGAGTAATTTAATCCTTTTGAATAAGTAACTTAATAATCAACACCGATTACATGAAACAAACAAAACAGTGTCTACTGCAACAACATGTTACAAATATTTCTAATACTTGTAACATCACTTAAATGTAAAAACATTTTTTAAAGTTTCACGAACACTTGGACATGCTACATCAACAGCCATTAATAGTCCACTGCTGGACATAGGCCTCTCCTTAAAAAGGAGGTTTTGACCTACTGTACCACGCTGGCCAGACGGGTTGGTATAGGGTTTGTTTCAAGATTTCCTTCTCGCTGCAGTGCTGTCGTCCTGCATTGTTTGCTCCCTTAGTCGCTTCTTACGACACCCACGGGATGAATAGAGGTGGTGACAATTTATTCTACATCCGTAACCACACCCCACACCAAAATAATTATTATAAATAAATTCTTCAATTTCAAACCTCCTATTTGTTAGTTACTTTTCATGAAAGTATGTTACAAGCTACTAAGTCTTAGTTAGTATTTTTTATATTTTTTTGTGTGAACTAACAGACGCTTTGCCTGATGATAAGTGACTATCGGTGCTCATGGAAACCTCCCTTTCAAGAGATACGTGCACCCCTTTAACCCCCCCCCCCCTACCCCCCCAAGAAGTAGGGGAGAGAGGGATGGAAATATGACCTCCGGTATACGGTAACCTCACTCACTCGGTGAAAGTCACCGAAAGAATTGCCAAGGAATTCCAAGAATAGACTCCAAGCTGCGGTGGCGCTAGTTACTTACTATCAGGACCCGTCTGCCCCCAGGGTCTACATAAAAGACGAGATCAAACAATTTTTTTTTTTATGAAATAAAGATATTTTGAGTTTGAGTTTTTTTGCTCCCTACACAATAAAAATAACAACAAAACAAAATATCACTTAAACCAATCAGATCTGTGACAATAATTTAAGTGGATATAACTGGAACCCAGACATCCTTGACCGCAGCCCGTTCCGATAACATATAGTAAGCATATTTTTATACGAGTACGTTTACAAAGAACGTTTTGTTTCATGTTCAAGTTATGAATAAATACGTCACCAGTTTATATCAATATATAACTATATTAATACCGTCACGACGGTTGTGTCTTAAAGTTCTTAAATTATATTAAATAGTTTCAAAAGGTGAATTTTGTTTTAGATTTTCATTTTATTAATTTTGTAAACACGCAATCCTAAATCGAAAAAAATATATTGATAAATACTGTGATACAGTGTTAAGTGTGTCTTTCTTTAAGTGAAACGTGGTTAGGTAGTTGTTTTTAGTCTCTTAAAAAATCTCTTTCCTTTTAAGATTAGCATAACGTCATTTAAAATTATTAGGATGTGGCGACTCCCACATACAAAGAAACAGAAACATACTACAGCGCCATCTAATGAAGACACACCGAACTACGGAGTAACTACTAAAATAAGAATTGCTAATCCTGTATCGCGATATAAAGAATTCCCTCGCCGATTAGCATATATACAACTTCCCAACATCAACCTTTAGGCCGCGGATCCTCCCTTTGTGTTGGAGGGACATGACACCCGTTCCTCCACAAGTCTATGTTAGGGTTTATTTTGCCCCTCATCTCATCTTAGATTGCAATTGCGGTATCTCCTACCTAGCTCCTTCACAATAGAGCTTTCTTTTACCTTCTTCTGTTGTCCCGGCCAGAATACCATTAAATTCAAAGAAGGATTGACGTCAGATGAGCGCTTGGTTAAAAACAAAACCAGCCATAATCTAAGCACTGTTACACATGCGCAAACTCCCAATTAAATTGGGAAAATGATGATTTAAAAGAAAATACCTTTGTGTTTACCCAATGTTTCGAAAGAATTTGACCATAATTAAGACCCAAATTATATATATATAATTCATCATCATCATCACCTCAGCCTATGCTTGTCCACAGCTGGACATCGACCTCTCCCAATGATTTCCAGCGGGGACGGTTGATTGCGGCCTGCATCCAACGGTATAATTACATAATAATTAATGATATATAATTACACACATATAATTACAAATTAGACATTCACGTTGAAAATGTCTAATAATAAATATGGTGAACTGTTTTTAACTATATCTAAATTAAAAAAAAAACATACATAGAAAAAAAATAGACATGTCTAAAAATAAATAAAGTACTTAATCGAATATACCTAGGCCACCGCAGTTTTCAAACGAAACGCATCCGAAAAACTGGAGATCTCCACTCTTACTATATTATGTATAAATTCTTCTACAACACAACCGACAGTCTAATTTTTAATACAAATGTATATAGTTATGGATAATAAAACGTACTTCATAGATAATACAGTTTGTTTTTGTTTGCCATTGTTATCTTCGCAAATGATAGGCTTTATTGTAAATAACGATAACAAATACTCATAATGGTAATGATTAAAATTATTTCAACAAGTTATTCGAAGCACGTGGCAGTTGCGAATGAAAATAACTTTGTGTTATAATAATATACGTTTATTGATGAAATAACGCTTTGATAGAATTATTTATCGACGAGCCTGTTGGTCTAGTGGTTAGTGACCCTGACTGCTAAGCCGGAGGTCGCTGGTTTGATTCCCAACCAGGACAAATATTTGTGTGATGAGCACGATCGTTTGATTAGAAATATTTAAGCATGTGTTTATTGTTTATCAATAATCTGGTTACTATATTATTACTAATATATACTAAATTGTAAACAGGCGCACTTCATACCTAGGGCATTCTCTTCCAGTCGAGTAGAAATAATATATGATACGTTAGGTGCATAGATAAAACATAAAAATTGCCATTATTTATAATAAATTGAATCTATAAGGTATAGGGTTTGTTTTAAGTTTTCCTTCTCTTTGCAGTGCTGTTGTCCTGCGTAGTTTTCTCCCTTACCCCTTAAAGAGCCGACCTCTTACGACACCCAGGGGATGAATAGGGGTCACCAGGGACTTCCTTTCTAGGGTATACCTGGTTCCCTGGCTATTAGTACCCGAGACGGCGTGCGGTTTTAGTCGGTTCGAGTCCGACATGCCACCGACAGGTGGTATCCGAGGGGACTTCCGCACGGAAAAAAAAAAAAAGGGGATGAATAGGGGTGGTGACACTCTGTATTCTTAATCCGTCACCAGACAATATTAAAATACTGTAAAATAACAAATGTAATAAGACGCTTACCTATATGTACAAAACTATTTCAGATCGATTTTAAAAAAAAACCCCCAGATTATTGGTTAAAATTTCAGTTTAAATTGTTTTTTAGTTGCATGTCGTTAATAACGAACATGCACTTAGATGAAGTAAAAACGTTTATTTAAAACGCCACAAAAGTATCTCGTGCTCCGTAACCGACGACGTTTTAAGACAAGAATCGAGAATTTAATTTCAATAAATGTCTCGATATTTATAAAACAACATCGGCTTGTATCGCTTCACCTGTGTATGTTACCAATCGATTTTACTTGTTTATAATAATCGATGAAAGCGAATATCGATACGGCCATACTGTTTAGATTTTCGTTCTTCTCGCCTTATCCAGTTTACTTTCGTTAAAGTTGTTTTTTATAAACATCATGGGTGGCGAACGATTTTCATCTCTTGTTATTTTTAATCGATAATGCGCTGTAATGTTTTTAACATTAAAAATAAATTTGCTTATGACTATCTGAAATTGATTCGGTATGTTTGTTGTACGAGATGACCGTATAACGGTGTTCATGAAACGCTTGCGCACATATTTTGTAAATATATTTTTTCATGAAGTGAAAACCTTAATTAGTTTTCGAACTGTGATAATTCTTTAGACATAAAGTATCATAAAATTGTTGTTAGTTCAACCTAAGACTGTAGAAACTGGCCTCTAATGGCAAAACGAAATAACAGGAAAAGATTAAAGAATAACTATTACATAGGTATTCTTGTTTAGGTGCACGGATGGCGTAGTAGTGTGAGCGTGTTGAGGGTTCGAACCCCACATAGCACAACACTTTGTGTGATCCACAAATTGTTGTTCTAAGTATGGGTTTTCTTTGTGTCCGTTTCACGAATGTTTGTAAAGTCCTCTGGGACACAGAATATATTCCTAATACGGGAGCTGTCCTTTAAAAAAAATGGTAAGATAAGGTGTGAATTAAAATGGTTGTGATTTCTAAGCCCAGTGAACAGATTATAACGCTAAAAACCAAGAGTCAGAGAACCAACCTTAACATTGTCATTGCCCTTTTGCAATAGTACAACGCCATCTATCGAGCATTAGAGGTACAAATAAATCATGTATTGTCGTTAAACAGGTTTAAACTAAATACTTAGACTAAACAGCTGTTAAATAAATTATTAAATGTTTCTTTAATCTTTAATGAGGCTGTTGAATTGACAGCTTTTTTTAATTCCTCTTTATTTTGAATAGCCTTTCAGAAACTGTGTCTAGAATAAACCAGAGCTTGCTAAATCTCCCGACGATACAATGGCTTACAGCGTTTTTGTGACGAAGCGACAGTCTAAAGGGTATCATTTGTTTGCGAGAGTGCGAGACCTCGCCCAGTACAAATGCATTACTAATGCGTGCGTACTCAGGTACAAGCATTTAGCTTACCTAAAAGGGTTACTACTACTACTCGTCAAACATGAACCAAATCCATACTAATACATATTATATATGCGAAAGTGTGTCTGTCAGCCTGTCTGTTACATCCTCACGCTTACACCGCTGAACCGATTTAGATTAAATTTGGTCTAAATATGGTTTGAGTCCCGGAAAAAGACGTAGGATTGTTTTTATTACGGAAATCATCCCTTAAGGGGGTGAAATGAGGGGTCGAAGTTTATATGGTGAATCAATAACTGATTCTGATGAAATTTGGTATGGAGATGGTTTGATTCTTGATAAAGGACATAGGCTTTTTA